CTAGCCTTTTGTGATTTGGAAGTTTTAATAAAAATGACTCCATTGTGTTGGCCCTGGAGGGAAGGGGGGCCCAAGAAAGCTGGTTAATATTCAAGGATCACCTCCTCCAAGCTCAAGAGAGTTCCATCCCAATGAATATGAAGTCAAGCAAAAATGCCAGGAGGCCTATGTGGATGAACAAAGAGCTCCTAGCCAAACTCAAACACAGAAAGGAAGCATACAGAGCGGCTGGAAGCAAGAACAGGTAACCTGGGAGGAATACAGAAACATTGTCTGAGCATCCAGGGACGAAGTTAGGAAAGCTAAAGCCCAAATGGAATTTAATGTGGCTAGGGATGTTAAAGACAACAAGAGGGGCTTCTGTAAGTACACAGGAGACAAAAGGAAGACTAGGGAAAATGTGGTCCCATTGTTCAATGAAACAAGGGTCCTGGTTACACAGGACCTGGAAAAGGCTCAAGTACTGAATGCCTAATTGCCTCAGTCTTTAGTAGCAAGACCGACCTTTAGGAATCCCAGGTCCGAGAGACCAGGGGGAAAGGCTGGAACAAGGAAGATGTACCCTTGGTGGAAGAAGATCAGGTCAGGGAATACTTAAGCAAACTGGACCATAAGTCCATGGGCCCTGATAGGATGCACCCAGGAGTGCTGAGGAAGCTGGCGGATGTCATTGCAAGGCCACTCTCGATAATCTTTGATCAATCATGGTGACTGAGAGTAGTGCCTGAAGGCTGGAGGAAAGCAAATGTCACTCCTATTTTCAAGAAGGGCAAGGAGGAGGGTCCAGGCAATTACAAGCTGGTCAGCCTCACCTCGATCCCTGGCAATGTGATGGAGCAGCTAATCCTGCAAACCATTTTCAGGCACGGTAAGGACAAGAAAATCATCAGGAGTAGTCATCATGGCTTCATCAAGGGGAAGTCATGCTTGACCGCCTTGATAAACTTGTACAATGAAATGACTGGCCTGGTAGACAAGAGAAGGGCAGTGGATATTGTCTACCTGGACTTCAGTAAGGCCTTTGACACTGTCTCCCATAAGATCCTTGTAGACATGCTGTAGATGTATGGGCTGGGTAAGCAGTCAGTGATGTGGATTGATAACTGACTGAATGGCCAGGCCCGGAAGGTGGTGATCAGCCTCACGAAGGCTAGTTGGAGGCCAGTAACTAGCAGTGTACCCTAGGGGTCAATACTGGGTCCAGTCCTGTTTAACATCTGCATTAATGATCTGGATGATCTCCATCCTTGGAGATATTAAAAAATTATCTGGACATGGTCCTGAACAGCTGGCTGTAGGTGGCCCTGCTTGAGCAGGGAGTTGGACCAGATGACCTCCAGAGGTCCCTTCCAACTGCAACCATTCTGTGATTCTGTGTTATTAAGGAAATTTCTTTAATTCCAGCCACTGGCTTTTGAGAAAAACAAGCTTTACGTTTTACCCCTCTTAAATTGCTTCCAGTGGTCATTATTTTATTAGGGCACTTCCTGTTTTAACTTCTATCTCTGTTATGCTGCAGCTCATGAGACTTTTCTTCTGCTGTAAAGCAACATGATTTCACTGGACTTTTGTTTAACAGATGCCTTGCAGGCTTTTTTTAATGACACTAACTGGGACTTTGTTTATCATGTGGGTATCACACGCCTCCTAGATGTTAGCCATTGCTAAACACAAGAGGGGAAATAGGATGTGAATCTTGTAAACTAGTATTTTCCAGTAGAGATACCCCTTTGATCTTTAATTACTTTACCACACATACAGAACATCTTTAAGAAGTCTAATTAATTTTTGATTCCTTCAGCTTCTTCAAACTTCTGCGACCCTTTCTAAGTGAACAGTCTGAGTGTTGCAGTTTCTGTCTCAGCAGAATTACTGGCCAGTATAGAAAAAGTCCCCAGATTTCTCATGCAGACACTGAGCCAGACAAAATCAGTCACAACCACCTCCTCTGCATCAGCCCAGTACATAACAGAGCCGGCAGGATACAGAGCGCTTTCTGGGAGGTCCTAGAACTTTGTGGAGCAAATTCTTAGTTACATCCATCAGTAGACAGTTTTTCATCTCTCTCAAGTTACTTCTGTTGAAGTAATGAGTGAAAGGCTCAACTGATACCTGTAAAATACTTTGGCTTCATGCTCTGCCAGCGTAAGTGTCTCCAAAAGCTGCAAAGGCAAGGTAAACTGTGAAGGGTTCATCTGGGTTTTGGCTGGTGAAGGTGAATACTGAAGGGAGTCTGCAGAAAGATGCAGCACTCATTTCATCCTGTCTCCTGGGAGGGATGCTCATTCCGTGTCCAGCCTCATTTTTTTTTTCTCTCCAAGGGAGGGTCTTCCCGTTAGGCAGTCTTTGCTTCAGAAA